ATCCACAGCTGTCCGACGCCCCAGCGCACTGGGCTCGGCGCTACCCATTATGCCTCAATTTTTCAAACTCCACTCTGCCGGCGTAGTGAATTGTCTATTCTCCCACTTGCACTGCGAAACCCGTGCGGTCCACCGCGGGAGATGTACCTGAACTTCCAGCGCACGCCCCGTTAGCTGCAGATTCTTCACCCTGCACTCTCTAGACTCTGACAGCGGCTGGAGTCGGCTTGCTGTGCGACCGCGCCGTTGTGCTCAATCAAAACACTGCATCGTGTCCCAGGCCTGCATGCGAATCATCCTGCGCCATTGCGTCGAGGCCTGTCCACCATGCACGCCTCAGATCCACGCCAGCCCTCGACTTGGCCTCTCGCGGAGTCGCATCCGGCAGACCGAGCCAAGCCAAGCTGCCATCTGGGCGCCTGTCCACACGCCTCGAATGGTGCCACCGACCGCCTGCCTGCCACAAACCTTCCACGCCTGATCGTCCACTCAGGCATCCCGGGCCCCAGGCTACCTCCAGCGCACGTCCAGCTGCACCTGCTGTCCATGCCTGTCGACCTGTCTGTAAAGTTTGTGATAATCAGTTGCAAATTTCACCACCGTCGTCGGACGCAGCCTGCCGCAACACGCATCCATCTGTGACCTGTTGCGACGCTGCCGTCATTCGCCCTGTTAAACCCCAGGATTTAGTCTTTAGCCCCCGCTCCCAGTGGCGACGGAGCACACCGCTGGGTTTCTCGGAATGCAACTACTCAAGTCGCCATATCCCACTCGATGACACCACACCAACTTGACCCCAAACATCTGTATCACAAAGTGCAATATTGCGAAACGACCTGACTTCTGTGTCGCATATCCAAATAGAATCCGCCGAACTGATGCAAATCTTTGCTGCCCTTGATGATGCTTTTGCACGGCCGGGCTTCCGCGTGGCTTTGCGGATATTTGGCCATTGGCTGCTTGTCGCTATGATACTCACCGTACAAGCCGAACACCTGCCAAGCCACCCTAGCAGCAGAAGCACACCTATCGAACAGTCGCCCAAACCGTCGACTATCGACTTTGTTCTACGATGCTTCGAATCTATGCACGGTCTTACATCCGGTGCTTCCTGTATGTCGAAAGAACTAACATCTGCAACAGACGTGGATGGCATGCAAACTTTTCCACGTCTCTGCTTGTGCAGCATCCCATGTTGCGCCGTGCTATAGCAAAAGCCATTATACACCAGGGCATCTACCTAGCACCAGACCAGATAGAGGAACAATCTTCCCCTGCAGGCGATCCTGCGGCAGGACATGAGAGACCCCGTCAAACAGACCGTACCATGGACAAATCGTTTCTTCTGTCTTGCACCTAGGGAAACCGTACCATAAAGGCATGGGCGGGCCGTATGCTAGGGCTTCGTGCTGACAAAATAGATACGGTGTAGACATTTGGGTAACAGCATACCTAGGTGCAGATCAGAAGAAACGAACTTCCCCGTTGCGAGCATCAAGACTTCGGTCAACTTGTGCAGTCGGTCCTGCGGGTAGATAGTCGCTTGATAAGATAGCGCTTCCGTACCGTTCTTTACATATCAATCCAACCATGGAATACTTTGCAGTAACCCGACTAGTACGCAGACCCCACTGAAAGTGGGCAGGAATATGCGACAAACGCTTTTGATTGCAGACGGCCACGTTCCCAGATTCTCTTGACTTTCCATGTACGCGTATATTGCCTTGTACATGATGGTTGAGGTATACATCATCTCGCTATAATGCCGCACACTAACGCATAACCTGGCCAAGATCTTCACGGTTCTACTTGAAGAAAGATCAGTCTTAATGCGTTTACGAGTGCTACGTATCAGGGGAGAATGTGGTACGTTACAGCGTGCTGTAATGGCTTGAGTTACTCAGCTGGTGTCGTTGAACAACTGTTCGTTTCACGACATGTGGAAGTGGTGACAACCTTGTGTCTAACTGGCCTTATCTGAGGCCATCGGTATGCTCAAGCTTGATGACGCCAGCTGCGATACAAGAAGCTCTCATACCAGTAACCTCTTGACACCCCAGACGACAACCAAAAATTAAACACGTTTGCAGACTACATCGAGATGAAAACATGCAAAGTGGGAGACCTAACGGCAATGTAGACTCCAAGATGTTTAGTCTTCTCCCACTGTTGTGCTGCGTTTCATCATCTTGCTGTCGCTAGAGACGTCAAGCGGCTCATGTTGTGGCACAGTTGTGCCATGGCTGACTATACAGGTGGTGTATACGCCATCTATCCAACGCAGCGATGAGGCCAAGCGCACATCCAATCATTCGGTATGCGGCGCTCTGACGAAGAGAAACCGCCGTATATGCACTGTATTCGCAATCGTTCGCTTGTCCAAACCCACGAATAGGTCAGCGTTGCCCGACACCAACTCTCGAACCACACAACCTCCCCAGGTGCAACACAACCTTCGATGCATATCCATCTGCCAATATCTGCGCACCCAATTCTGTCGCCTGCCCCTGCCCATCGTCGTCACGGACCAGGTCCCCTGTAGCCTGCCATGCTGCCTCGAGACGGACGCCGTTTCTACATTGAGCCTCCAGGTGGTGTGATTGTTGGCTCAACGGCACGACACGAACTCAACGGTCCCAGCAACAAGCAGATAAGTGGCTATGGTATAAAGTAGCCGCATGGCAAGTACTCAGTACATAGGATTCTTACCCCTCTCTTCCCACACGCGAGGAATTACACCCTGTCGCTGGTGCTGACAATCTGCAGCATTCCCATGGGCACGATACCGTTATCGCGGACGCGCCGCCAGCCACTCAGGTGATTCTGCAACCCTAAGCAGACGCCTCTTACGTTTCCGCGCAAAGTTCTCGACGCTCGACACTGAAACGTATCTAGCGCGCGTACTGGTGCAGGACGCGTCCAGGTTGTAAGCGGAGCTTCCGTCTTCCAAGGAAAGGACCTTTTGACAAGCTGGAACACATGAATAGGTTTTTCCCCACTTCCCACTTTCTCCTGCGTCGTGCACTACGGCAATACATTGTTAGCAGCAACCACTGTATACGAACGCCCTGGAGGCTATTGACAGTTCTAGCCGTGCAAAGTTGCAACTAGAGCAGTCAGACTCCCGGCGTATGCTCCAGAGTACGTCTTGCTATTACGATTGAAAACATTAGGACCGTCGTATGCTTCACGGGATGTCAGGTTCCCAAGGCTGCTTCCATACAGTACAACAACTTCAACGCGAGAGCCGCAAATGGTATTACTCCCGCTATGCTTACTACCCGCTATCCGAAATCTCTTCACCGTGTTTCGTTCCGACGCGCCTGTTCGATCGTCACTGCCACCCATTTCAGCCTGCTAACCTTCGCTTGCTCATGCCACATCCTCTCTAAGCCATCGGCTGCACGCCTAGAATCTCGACCCATCTGTGGGCGGCGAGGCGGCTAAAATGCGCGATTCTAGCGTCAACGTAAGCGTTAAGCTTTGGCCGCCAAGCATCCGTTCGCCTGCTGCGGGCAGGCCTCCGGGACTACTGAATGGGGAGCTACCCGGCACGGCAAGCGGATCGCATAGGCATCGCATCGTTAGCCATGCGATATCAAAATAGTCTTTTTGACGGATACAGACACGGAGATTATGGACGTTAGATGCTTTTTTCGAAATAGGCTACGTCTACACCGTCTCCGCAACCTTGCACTACCAGCCTTGTACCAAGCGCACGTCGAAACCTTGTGAAATTGTCGGGTCCGCGGTTCGCGATGTCGGCGCGGAGGCGACCGACAAGCCGGAGCACAAGTGGAAAAGATCTCATGGACTAGACCGAAGTCGTGCCGTAGACGAAGGTCGTTTTCCCTAAGCGTAGCAGAGGCTGACGACGATGGAGCATGGGCTGGATGTAACAGCGGGAATAGTAGGGCGGAGATGCGCCGTTCTCCTTCAAGATGGGGACCCACGAGATGGATGTACAGGTACATGTACACATGACGATTAGTGTCCGCGGAGGCTGAACATGACTCTATGCAGGGCCGATTAACGATGGATATGACAGCCCTTTACAAGGTGTTGCAGCCCGATTTGTAAAGTATATTCGCAAGGGATTGCCCTCGTTGCGGTGGTACTCGTCGCTTACAGCCAACTGCTTCCTGCTACCCGCGACAAGCCCGGCACTTGGTTGTTATTCCACCCCACGGACGAAACACGATCAATTTGATGTGTCGTCCAGAACGCCTATTATGGCGCCCGGAGGTTCTCAGGCTCTTTTGTGGATCGAAATCGTACGCGAATAGTTTCATGTAGACCTCAGTCTCGACCTCGACTCTGACTGACACCGGGTATTGTACCAGTCGTACACCGGTAACACCGGTGTATATTCGCGGTATATCACACTCGCATTCGCGTTCGGACCGATACACTGATTTTTCAAATCCCATGCGGCTTTCATGATTGTGTTTTGGTCACAACATCGACACATGTATTGAGATTAATGGTTTCCTACGCGGCCCATACGGTCGACAACCTGAGGATTTGGACTACACCAACATGAAAATTGTCCAGATGATTTTGATCGATGCGAGCAGAAGAGAGGAATAGGAACAGTTTTAGATAGACGATGCTTTCAAATCCATGTCTTTTGGACGTTTATGTTTGGATTTCTGGATACGCGTGACAGATACATGGGTCGTCAGCGCCGATATTTTGAATATTTGGGATAGCCAGGACAAAGACATAGAATATCTGGCGCAGGATTTTGAAGTTTTTGAGAACGTGTAGTCATGAAGGAAGGTAGCATAATGTGTAGAAGAGCGGACGTAGAGCGAACGTAGAGCGGTGCAGGTGGGCTGCACCTTGCTGTATTAGGACGAACCGAGGTGGGGCGATGAGCTCACATCAAGCACGAGGAAACACCAAACGACGCGTTCCGACGCGACAACCCGCGCAATCGTTTGTTTGCAACTTTCCCATTCCATTTTACGTCGTCCGAAGCCGTCACGAGATTCAAGATGTTTTCGTTGCCTATGATCGCGCCGCGCCCAGTAAGTACTCTCACGGGTATCTCAGAGTGCTCCAAACAAAGGTCATGTTAGCAACAAATTGACGAGATTGCCAGGACGCCAGCCTCTGGCCCTCCCACCACACCACCCACGCCGCTTTCGAAGATACCCACCCGAATTCCCCTCCAGACACAGCCCATGGCCAAAACCAGCGACGCCCTACCTCGCACCATGGCCCTCGTCGCATTCAAAATCAATTCCTCGCCAGTTTAGCCGCCGACGAAAACACAATCGCCCAGCGTAAACTCAATGTTCGCAGATTCGGTGCGGGTTGGATTCGTCCACCCGGTGTCACCAAAACACTCCAAGCCAGGGAGGACGAAAAGTTCGAGAAGGAGGAACAAGAGATGATGCAGCGCAGAGAGCAAGCCATGATGGATTTGGCAGCCGCACAACAAGACGCCGCAAACGAGGAGCAAAGGGAGAGAGGAGAGATGGCGGAAGAGGCTGGAGAAGGCGAAGAAGAAAGAGACCTTGACGACGAAGTCCCCGAGGCAGAAAGCACACCCAGCGCATCCGCCTCCGAGGTCTCCAGCGACGAAGAATCAGAGGAGGAAGCTAGCGAAGTCAGCGGTGATGTCCAGGAAGAAAGCACAGTACCGTTCAACGAGGACAGCTTCATCGAGGGCAGCATGTTGGAAGCAGAAGTATCGCACATGTTGGAGATGGAGGAGGCGGAGATGGCAGGCGTCCTGCAAGATGAGCGCGATCTCGATGACGATGTACCAGAAGCCGGGAGTTACGAACACACGGATTCCGAACTCGAAGATGATAGCGACGTGGATAATAGCGCCATTCCACCTGGTCTGGCTTCCGCGCGTTCGACACGTTCACATAGACGCCGCTCCAGTGGACGCCATATTTCAAGCCGCAGAAGTTCGGGATTGCCTGGGGGCATGATGTTTGGAGGCGGACATCCCGCTGTTGGAAGGGTTAGTCTGGGTGTTGATCTGGGGAATGGGCGTAGTAGCTTCGGCATGGATGGTAGTAGTTCGCTGCTTGAGGGCAGCTCGTTCTTGAGGAGCTCACCTGCAGGGAACGCGGCAGCTAACAGGGGTAGTCTGAGAGACAGGTTCTTGGGGGCCGCAAGGGGTGGCGGTGGAGGAGGCGGAAGGAGGGCTTGATGTTGAGTGTGGTAATGATTATGAATGTACGATAGAGATACCCAGTAGCTCGATAGAGCCTGATTGTATTCAGATGAGCAACAAGCCCGTTTCATGCTACCAATATACAAACCAGGAGGTCCCCATCCCATTCTACCATCGCTTCTACCCATGCCAAACACGACCCGGACGACAACATGCCCCTACACCTCAGCTAACGTCTCCTCAAACGCCTTCTCGAGGAAGCTACCTGCCTCTCCAAACATTTCCGCGCGCTCCGCCCTCTCCTCGTCGGAGTCCAAGCCCAAAACATGACTTACACACCGCATAGAATCTTCCAGGGCGTCCCTGCCTTTCAGCAGCAGGTAGTACTCCAGACGAGTCTCTATGGAGCATTCTCCATCCACACACTCCCCAACGTAGTCTCCATCGACTGCGCCGCTCAGCTGATAGATACGCTGCTGCCATTCGTCGTCGGCAACGGTCATCATCTCTTCCATTCCGCGTAGCAACGACGCCAATGTAGGCACTGAGCTACTGTGGATGGCCCACAGTGCGTTCAGCTTGCCGATGGTGGTGTCGATAACCTTGTGGTCTGACATGAGGTCATAAGCGATCGAGCGGCGGGCTTGTTTTGGGCTCAAACAAATTGGGTCTGATTTGGCGACCAATGTGCGTTCCTTGTTGTAGAGTTGAAGGTGAAATGGGTATTTGAGGTCTTCTAGCACCGAAAGTGGTGGAGCAAAGGTGACTGTATCTGCTTCAAGCTCTTCCGGCTTCAGGACGCTGATGAGGTACATGAGGTTACCACTATTCCATTCGATAGGCTCATCCGTGTCATCGGAAATCGGTGAGGAGGGCGCTGTGGACGAACCGTCCATGCTGGACAGACTTACGCGAGAGCCGCGGGAGGAGGGAGGGGTCCATTTGAGGTTAGGAACCCATTGAACACCAGGCTCGCCCAGAATAGTGTGCTGGATGTTGTGAGATGCATTGTCGCTGTCATAGCCAGGCTTTCTGCTGGTGTTGACCTTGAGGAATACATCGGTGTCGACGGTCTTCGTAGGCTGCGTAGGAGACTCGGCGTATCTGTCACTGAAGGGGTTGGCGGAAGGTGCTGCTGACGTGGCCATCATGTCGGATTCAGCGTGATTGCTGATCTGAGCGCTGTCAGGGGGATTGATGGAAAAGAGCAGATGGTGACGCTGAGTGTGGGAGACGGAGCTGTCATGGGTAGAAACTGCGAAGATGACGGGTATTAATAGGGTTCGCTGGCTTATTGAACAATAGCTAGTGACAGCGGCTATTCAAGCCCCGCGGTAATCATGAATGCGCAATGTTGCTGCGGTGAACCGCCTGATTCACGTAGCATTGTCTGAAGATGGAAAACGTGACAATAAGAAGATACGGTAGAAAATGAATGCGAAGGTACATTGACGAAGGGGTCGAAGTGTAGCAGATCACCTGTTGTACGTGACCTATAGTTGCAGCAAACTGATCGCTTCGTCACGTTACAAACAGTCGTGCTGTAATTCGTGACAGTCATACATTTCAAGTGATGTCGTTCATTTTCCTTGTGTCTATCCCAGCGGTAATTATATACAAAGCTCAGTGGGTCGCAAAAATGTTGCGTGTGCGCAGGTGGACTGGGGTCTCGCCCTTTGGCGCATCTGGTATCGTCTTCTCCAATTTCTGAAGTGGTGTTAGCGAAAGACGTAAGGCACAACGATAACCGCGACATACCAACTTCTCGAATACACACTTGTTGAGCTTGCGCTCTTCTGACCGGCAGTTCCAGAGTTGTTGGTTGTGGTTCTCTAGGCATTGCCAGTGGGTGCGGAACTGTTCCAGGCAGTTCTCGTTGATGTCCTTGATACTGCCACTGCTGTCAATACCCAGGGTTCTATATTGGGCCTTCCGCCAGTACGTACACGCTAGCCGCACACCTGGTGACCTTGCGGCCTTCCTTCATGCAGTCAAACTCTCCCCGGCCGTTGGCCTCGGTCTTGCACATCATGTAGTCATCGTTGTAGGCCTTGCATCGTGCGCCAATGAAGAACGAGGCACTCAGGAGGGGCGCAGAACTGGCTCCGAGCTCCTTGACCTTGGGGATGTCGTCGGGTAGAGGGGTGGTGTCGATGAGGGCTTGCTGGTTGAACCTGCAAATTAGTCAGCATATGTGAGCGCCATGAGATTGGCAGAGAGCGCTTACCTGGGCTGGCGCGACGACATCTTGAGGGTGAGGTGCCAATGGCGGGCTATCGGCTCACGAATTGGCGATGATGCTCGTGAGGTCGTCGCGGAAGTCGGTCTTGGCGCTCACTAAAACTGGCAGGGATGCGATGGGCCGCGCTTGTGCCTGACCTTTGTGAGCGAGAGACAACAATCTCTCACTGCGCCATCTGCACCTCCACCGCGCCCTTACACGCCTCTCCTGCTTCTCATCAATCAGGATGCGCGCCGATTGATTGTTTTTGTGAATAATACCAGCGCCTACTTTCAGCGATCGCCTCCTTCGCGTGCCTGCGCGCGACCGAAAACAAACATTGGAAGCTCCTCCATCCGCGACCTGAATAACGTCACTCGTTCGAATCACTATCGAATCTGCCCAGAAGGACACGCGCATACTACGACTTCTATTCAACATGTCTTTTAGCTTTGGAAACCCGGCAGGCGGAGAAAAGAAGACGGGCACTCTGTTTGGAAGCACCACAGCACCAGCTGGCGGTCTTTTCGGTCAATCGCAGCAGCAACAGCCGCAGCAGTCGAACACGACACAGTCCAGCCTCTTCGGCTCATCAACCGCCCCTCAACAGAACAACACCAATAGCCTGTTTGGCTCGACACAGCCGCAGCAACAGCAGCAGAACTCGGGATCGAGCTTGTTCGGCCAGCCCCAACAACAACAGCAGAACGCAGGCTCAAGCCTCTTCGGACAACCTCAGCAGCAACAACAAAATGCCGGCTCAAGTCTGTTTGGCCAGCCTCAGCAGCAACAGCAACAGCAACAGCAGCAGCAGCAGGGGCAGCAACAACAGCCAAACATGAGCAACAGCCTCTTCGGCGCCTCATTGCAGCCTGCGCCCGTCCTGAACAACATTCAGGCGCAAAGCATCCAACAACAGCGCGAAGGGCTTCCGCAGTTGCGCCAGTCCTCCGCGCAACCTTTCGCTGCTAATACCATGAACGGTCACAGTACGGCACCTCGAAATCACCGCTGAAGTCGCGCTAACACTTGCCAGGAGAGAAGTCGGTCATCGAGCAGATACGGATCCTGAATAACAAGTGGGATCCCAGCAGCCCCGAATGCGTCTTCCAATACTACTTCTACAACTCGGTCAAGCCTGAAGAAGCGCCCTTCTATGGTCCCTCGCAGGGTGAAGACGAACGGAAATGGGAGGAGGCTTTGTCTAAGAAGCCAAGTCCAGGTGCTATTCCCGTGCTTGCGCGTGGCTTTGAGCAGGTTGGAGAACGCATCAAGCAACAAGCCGCCGCTGTCACCGCGCTACGAACCCGCCTGCACGAGATCAATAATGCACTGTCGCTTCTCAAAGACGCCCATGAGCTGACGGTAGCATCGCGCATCACCGAAGCTAAGCGCAAGCATGTCGTCTTCACTCAGCGGACACTGGCCCTTGCAACTAAGGTCCAGATCTTACGAAACCGGGGATACGTTATGGATCAGCCAGAGGAGGAACTGAAGAAGAAGCTCATCGAGTTGGAGAAGCAGACCTTTGATCCTGTACTTGGCGGGCGACAAGAGGAAATCTGGGCGCGCATGTCCGGTGTGCGGGAGCGGGCGCGCATCCTACAAGAGGAGACTGAGAAGCTGGGCAAGACGATTGACCAGCAGCAAAATGGTGAACTTCTTACAGATGAAGATCAGAAGGCGTTGGAGAAGGTAAGAAGCCCATTCCATGACCCCTCACATATGCTAACAACGTCTCTTAGCTCCTCAAAGACTACGACCGACAACTCGAGCACCTCAAGAAGTGGGTCGACGACACCAGAGACGAATACGACGAGTGGGAGACTGCAAAGCAATCAAGGCCAGCAAAGCGATAAGGGTATAATACGAGGGCGCATTTGTCATGTACGATTCATAGGTGATGTAGAGGTTATATTGCGAAAAGTTGGGCGTTGCGAGATACCATGCAGCAGCGGACGGATGCATAGAAGGCGTACAATCAAGCGTTGCATAAATATTCATCGTCTCATCATTGCGCACATGTCAGATGGCGTTTGGTAATTCTCTTTGCTTCTAGACGTATGCGTCGATCCCCATATACTGTAAGGGTATTTGTGTCCGTTCAACCAGTAATGTTACAAGCGCATGTATTCCCTAGGCCATGCGAGTATGTTGTACAGTAGTTCGTTGGTATATTGCTTCATTCTTTCACTCCGTCTGTGCGTACACCTGTTCATGTCCAGCGCTTTAGATTTTGCGGACGAGTTCGTAATCGCGGGAGCAGTCGCTGCTTAGAAGAGTTTCGAGACGTATTCGACGAGATGAGGTGCTGCAGGCTGTTAGTCTCCATCCAACCACCATGTAGTCCCAGATCATCCTTACAGAAGTACAGCACGACAGCGCTGGCAGCTGTCCACTTGATATCGGTCATAGTCTGTGCTTCGGCCGCGGCAAGCTCCTGCTTGGATGGCTGTGGTGGTGCTGTCATGCACGTCAGCCTCGTTGTCTTGGATGCGGCAATCCCTGGCAAAACTCACCTCCGAACATTATGGCGGTGTCTTGTATGAGTTGTGAGGTGAGGCGATAGGAGGTGCTGTAAAGCGACAGGC